GAATATTAATAACTTTTGTTTAGTCATACGTGTTAATGTAACTTTATGACTCTCTTTTGGCTTTTTTTATTTTGTCTTCTTCCTCTCAAAACGGAATGCAGTAGTTTGAGCCATTATTTTCATCATAATGTGTGTTTATATGTAAATGTGTAGTACATACATATATTTCTATACTTTGTATATACAAATAACAATTTGTGTTGGTAACACTTTTATGCATCTATTTTATTATTTTTTTCAAATAACCAACACAGTGAAGAATATTTAAAAAATTAGGACATTTACAGTAATGTGATCCTTAAATCTATATTAAGATCTAAATTTCATATTTATATTAATAATAACAATAACAAGCTTGTAAATTGTATAGTACTAGCTTCTTGTGAGGTTTACACTCTCTGGCCTTGTATTCACATATTATTATTACAAAATTTTAACGACGTGTTTCCCTGGCATTAGATTTTTTATAGTTATTTTTTTTCTAAAAAAATTAAAAGGATATTAATCTTTAAATGTTTATCAAATTATTCTTTAAGATTACATTATGTTAACCAAAATGTTTGTTGGGAATAAAAACATATAAACAGCACATACATAGGTACAAACATACATATATATTCATGGTGTATGCTTGAGTGATCATATGCAACAATTTTTTATTATATTATGAAAATTGTTGCTTCATTATTTTCTATTATTCTATTTCAAGTAAAATAATAAATTAATGTTTGAGTCTTTTTATCATTAAAGTATAAATAAAATTGAAAATTTCCTTAAACGTTTTAATAAGTTTTAGGAAATTTTGATAACTTTTAATAACACCAAATTATATACATCCTATTCTATCGTGCAACTTGATTAGGTTATAACTTCTATACGAGCGATAAAAAACTATCCGCGCAAAGTTTACGATACTTAAGATTGTTTTAATTGTTTCAATTTTTTCAAGAAAATCTGTGATCAATTATCAAATCGGCTGTAGTTCCTTAAATAACACTCCAATCAAGAACACAGTGAAAATATCACTCATATTTTCCATCAAAATTCGATTTTTATATAAAAAAAACTTGAAAACGGCTGTAGTTCCTTAAATACGCTCCAATCAAAAGAGAAGTGAAAATCTGTGATAAGTGATCACTCATATTTTCCATCAAAAATCGATTTTATTATAAAAAAAACTTAAAAACGGCTGTAGTTCTTTAAATAACACTCCAATCAAGAAAACTCATATCAAAAATCGATTTTTATATGAAAAACATAAAATTGGCTGTAGTTCCTTAAATAACGCCCCAATCAAGAATATAGTGAAAACAAGTGATCACTGATATTTTCCATTAAAATTCGATTTTTATATGAAGACCTTGAAAATGGCAGTAGTTCCTTAAATACGCTCTAATTAAAAGAGGAGTGAAAATGTGTGATCAACTCAGAAAAACTTAAATAACACTCAAGAAAACAGTGAAAATCTGTAATCACTTATATTTTCCATCAAAAATCGATTTTTATATGAAAAACATAAAATTGTCTGTAGTTCCTTAAATAACGCCTCAATCAAGAATATAGTGAAAACCGGTGATCACTCATATTTTCCATCAAAATTCGATTTTATACGAAAAACTTGAAAACGGCTGCAGTTCCTTAAATACGCTCGTTTTTTATATTAAGAACGTAAAAACGGCTGTAGTTCCTTAAATAATGCTCCTAATCAATCATATTTTCCATCAAAAGGCGATTTTATATGAAAAACATAAAATTGGCTGTAGATCCTTAAATAAAGCTCCAATCAAGAATATAGTGAAAACAAGTGATCACTGATATTTTCCATTAAAATTCGATTTTTATATGAAGACCTTGAAAATGGCAGTAGTTCCTTAAATACGCTCTAATTAAAAGAGGAGTGAAAATGTGTGATCAACTCAGAAAAACTTAAATAACACTCAAGAAAACAGTGAAAATCTGTAATCACTTATATTTTCCGTCAAAAATCGGTTTTTATATGAAAAACATAGAATTGGCTGTAGTTTCTTAAATAACGCTATAATCAAAAAAATAGTGAAAATCAGTGATCACTCAATTTTTCATCAAAAATCTAAATTTATATACTTTTTTAAGAAGAAGAATTATAAAGAACCTAATATTTTCCATCAAAAATACATTTTTGTATAAACGAGTAAGAAGTTTATATTCGCCTTATATATGTATATTATATACCCTTAAAAAATATTAATTTTTATCAAAACATGCAAAAAATAGTTTGAGGAAATTTTCAAAGGTTGTCTCATATCTCTGACTGAATTATTGAAGATCTGGATCCCGAAGATATCTCAGTACTCAGAAAATTGATTTCAACAGACAATCAGACGGACATGGCTTATATATATAGTGAAAATCTGTGATCACTCATATTTTTTATCAAAAATCAATTTTTATATGAAAAATTTTAAATTGAATTAGAACTGAAATACATCGGAACTAGAACTGAACTAGATCTGACCTAAAACTGAACTAGATCTAACCTAAAACTGAACTAGAACTGAATTAGATCTGAACTAGAACTGAATTAAATCTGAACTAGAACTGAAGTAAATCTGAACTAGAACTGAAATTTAAACTAAAATTAGAAGAATTATGAAGAACTGAACTAAAACTGAACTTTAAACTAAAATTAGAAAAATTATGAATATATATTAAATTTCTCGAACTCTTAAACTCCATTTTTTAATTTATTCTTCTTAGAATATTTTTGGTGCACGAAATGTCTTTTAGCCTTTCTTCTATCATTAAGTTTTTTTTTTATAAGTGTCATAGTACTTTTGCTCTTTATCGAAATTGCTGTCAAAATTTCCTAAATTTTATTTTAAGTACATTAGACATATAAATCTTTACAAAACCAATGGAATTTCTTCCCTTCATGTGTTATACTGTAACGACAATAAATAAAACAATAACCAAAAAAATGTAGCACTTACCCAGGCAGCAGCCGGCAGCCTCCTTTGATGTCATTAACTTTTTTTCATATTTTCACTAATAACTACTTAACACTATTTTCACGCTATTATTTGTATTTATTATTAACAATATTTAATGCACTACACTTAATATATTAACTTTTAATATAATTGTTTATGTCAACTTTTAATTTTGTTACAATGCAACCAATGACGTCTTAAAAGAAAAGCGTAATTAGTTTTACTGTTTGTGTGTGAATAACAAGCAAAACAAGCAACTAACAACAAACAGCATGTGTTTGTAGGCAAAACAGTGCACTGTTTAAGTGTGATCTTGTTGTTGATTAATGATATCCTCTGGATATTTCACACCCGGAAAAGGGAATAAAATTATAATATATTTAGTATTAAAAGAAATTGAAAATAATGGAATAAAAATGATTTGGCAAATGAAATACAACAGATCTAAGTTTTGATTGTTAAAAAATATTACAGTTAGACTTTTCTTAACATTATTAAAAGTTGTAAAATTTAATACCATTCAAAAAAATGAATATGTTTAAATATTATTTCTGTGTTTATTAGATGATATTTCAAATTTAAATTTTTATAAGAATATTTTTACTAACAATATGCTTTTTGTCTTGTTCTTAAAACTAAACAAAAAACGGAAATATTTAAACATCAAAAAAGAAATAAAGGAACTAATGGTCATAAAAATATATTATTTTATAGATTTGACTAATTCATATGTATGTAAATATAGATAGACTAATTAATATTTATAATATGTATTCTAAAAAGATAATTAACACTAAAATTTGTTTAACTTAATACCTAATCTAAACTAATCTAAACTATGTCTTTTAACATTTAATTTATATAATTTATAAATTAATATTTCTTTATGCATTAAGTTTGAGAAAAGCTTTAGTTTTTCATAATTGTTTAGGCAAGAGATTTGTAGGCAAAGTTTTCTAAACCAAAAGGGAATTAAACTAAGTTAAATTAATTAAAAAGTAAATAACATAGATAATTTGTGTGTGACTAGTTTTAAAGAGGCACTATAAAATTAAAGATTTTGTTTTAATTTTTTTTTTTTTTTTTTGTAATTTTTAAGGCAAGCTTTGCTTATGAAACTCACAATATTTTGTTGTATAGTTAAATTTTACAGGTTTATTTTAATATTTCATTTAATTAATTTTATTTTTTGTATGCAAGTATTGCTATATTTATTATATTTATACCATTTGAAAGCATTTAAGAAATTGGTTAATAAATATGAAACTTAAATAACAAATAATTATACAAAATAGTTTAAATTAATATTAACAAAATTTAATGCTAAATATTGCCAAATAATACAGTCGTTTCGTTATTTTCAATATATTTTTTAATAAAAATAATTGAATTTTTATATTTAGCTTGGTTTTCAGACTTTCAAATGATATCACTTTAGAGATAAGTAATGTAGGTTTAATATCTACAACAATGATTTATAATTTTAATATTTTTTATTGAAAATTTATAATATATTATAATTAATGGGGTTTTATGCAAATATATTTCTATATAATTATTTTATTTAACAGCTTTAAGGTCTTATTCATAATCAAACTTTTATTTTAAAAAAGGTTTATATAACAAATTTTGTTTTATAAACCCTTTTTTAATAAAATGTTTATTTATATAGGGGGTTAATATTTTACTGTACATTAATTTGGCAGTATGCAAGCACTACGTGACTTCATTTATCGGAAAATAATATATATTATTGTAAACTTTCATCGCCATGTTTTGGAAATACGTTTCAGAAGAGCTATTGGTTTTTAATAATAGTTAATAGTAGTCTATTTGGTCAAGATATTACTTTATTTGTTGGAAAAAGAAATAATAGCAATACAATACATGAACTATAAAATTAGTAAATATACAAATAATTTAGTTTATTATTAATAATCTACAATATTGCTTTAAGCCCTTTTTTAGATTTCAATTCTAAAACACATACTCTAATTTTGATCTAAAATATATATTTAGTTTTTTTTTTGTCTTCAAATATATTTGCATAAGAACCCATCTAGAATACCGTCATTAAAGCCTCTATTTGTTTAAAAATATTTTACTATATCGCAAAACTATATAACCAAAGTAATAATGAGATTAAAATTGTGCGTTAATTAAGAAAAATTATTGTATAGAACAAACGGCCGAAGAGCCGGTATATTGATTATTTAATCTACGTTTCATACCCTCCAAATAAATATCACGACAAAAAAGTCCAGCTGCCAATGGAATGCTACAGATAAGAAAAAACATATAACTAAAAACAAAATATATTAAAATTACTTTCACAACTTACGAATCTGTACCCGCTCTAATAACAGTCTTAAATAAAGCCCAAACCGGTTTATGGTCCGATGTGGTAATGGACGGCACCGAATCGTATAATAAACATTGCACCAGTGGGTGTGAGGGCGATGGCATACCGGGTATAGCACTTTGGCGTCTCATCATTAAACCCTGAGCTTGTCGATATTTATATAAAATGCGATCGGTGTAAGCGGGAGCACGTTGTTTCGATGAAGTATCAAAGTGCTGGGTACCAGGATCGTACTACAGAGAAAGTAATTGAAATATTCTTAAATTCAAACATTATTTTAAAATTATTAAAAATACCTTATAGGTGGGAGGAAATGTTATATTAGCCTCCATAAACCCACGGAATGCTGCACCGTCTGCCAATACCGAAGACAATTGATCGGTATGCATATAGCCATGTGGCAAGTGGGATGGTAAGGGAAATTTTGTATTCTGTATCCATTCTAAAAGTTTTTCCCTTGGTTCACCCAAACGAAAATTTAAATCTCCGCACCAAAATACATTGTCAAAATTTTGTGTGACATCCTTATTTTTATGTCTTAAATTAAGATTCTTTGGCAAATCGAGAGCATGTATAATTCTCTTAACATCCGATACTCTTTCTTTGACCTTTTGTTGATGAGCTGTTAAATGCGAGGTTACAAAAAGCATTGAGGTACCAAAAAGGCAAAAGGAAATTGCCACGGCTCCTTTTGTACGAAACGCCGATCCAGTCCTTACCGACATGTTGGCATCTTCGGGTGCCGAACAGTACCATATCAAATCTCTTCTCATATAAACTGCTAAATGTAGAGTACCCAATGTAGTGGAGTGGAAGAGTACATGTGATGGTCCTAGAGTTTCTTGTATGGTGACTTCCCATTCAAAACGATCTGGACTGGATTCCTGAGTGCCAATGGCAACAATATCGGGAACATGCTCAATATTAGCGGGCAACACAAAATCATTCATTTCCCTGGGTAAAAAGAAAAAGTTTATCATTCAAATTCTTCAAGGTAGAATTAATAATTTCAAATTATTTTTACTGACTTGGGTGGACTTTGGCCGTTCATATTCCAGGTACCCACAAATATAGTCACTTCCTTGCTGGGTATCACTTTGTTTAATTCGCTAGGCCCCAATAAGGAAGAGGAACCCAAACGTCCATCTAAATAACTCCTAAAATAAAAATAAATCTATTAATATAAACATAAATTGTATAACTTTTAAACTCACCTCTCTCTTGCTTGATCTGTAGGTATTAAACTTAATACTTGAGCAGCCATAAGAGCCTGACGTGCCAAACCCGAACTAGAGCTCTGACGTTGCATTTGTATATTTTCATGTGACATAAAGCGAATGGACTGCGAATCTGGCTCATGCACCACAGAACCCGTGATCTCAGACTGACTGGCAATGTTGGGAGAAGACATATGTTGTGGTGTAGTGGCCCTCTTTATTTCAGATACAGCTCCTTCATCTGCTGCAGGAAATTCTGAACCAAATGGTGGCAATTCCTTACCAGGAGGATATAGTTTAAGTCTTAGGCGAGAGCGACAGGCTGAGACGGCTATAGGCCGTATGGGACCACTGCCTGCGGAGTTATTAGCACCATTAGGTGTATCACTTTGATTGCTTCTTAGCGAGGTATTAGAAGGTGAACCGTAAGAAGAGTCAACATTTGGAAACATCATTGATTTTCCCGTTACCGGACTCTGCGGAGCACTGGCACATTCGGTCAAAGCAGCTGCCGGCACCGCCACAAAAGGGGGTTGTAAACAAGCCGTTGGGTTAGAGATGCCCGAACCTATAGATAATGAAGTATTATCCGCCGTGCTCCAACTCAATGACATATTGTCTTTCTTCACAACTGAACCACCATCTGGAATGGAGTTATAGCGTACTGTTACCGGTGGTGTAACAGGTTTCTTTTCCGCCTTACAACACAAACTGAACTGATGACTAAAACGATTATGATTTGGTGAACGATTTTTTGGGGTCTTCCTTAGCATGACTTCAATTCCACTGGCGATGCCACCATCACTTTGCGAACCATCAGTACTGTGACGATGAATATGATTTTTATTTTTACCCGCCTTCACCTTACGATGTAAATTTATAATACCACTACTCTGAGATTTCTCTATGAGATGAGTCCCCTTGATCATGTCATTGGGTGTGGCATTATTGGGTAATGTTTGACTTCTTAAATTGGGACGATTCACATGATTATGATCACTCATCAGGGGTGATTGCTTATCAGGTGTACATTTAGCAAAGGAGGTGTCATGACTAATGGAATTATTAGCACTGTTCGTTTGATGACTGTTGCCGGTGACATGTTTTTCATTGTGCTCTACTTCTACGGCGGGATGGGGTTCAACTTTTGTGGAGCGCTTTGTGAGTAGACCTAATAATGCCGAACCAGGATATTTATTGCTATGTCGCGGACTGGAATTAGCACTGGTTATACGTTCGTCACTGCTACCACGTTGCATTTTGAGTGCTTGTCTTTTCTTATGAATTAGTTGTTCTTATTTATAATGTTTAAAGTTTGAGCATAACTTTAGGCGAGATTTGAGTTAAAGTTCTTGTGCATACTTTTCTTACTCAGCAGAACATGGGTGCGTTTCAAATTTTATTTGTGCATAGTAGTTATGAAATTTGCAATTTCTGAAAGTAAAAAAAGTAATTCAAGGTTTATAAGGATTTATAAAAAAATTATATTTTTAAATATTCCTTATGTAGTCACCACCTGCTAATATGTGAGCTGCTGAACAGGCCCTAAATCAAAATTATTTAAAATTTTATTTATAATGAACTAAAATAGAATTTCACAATATTCGTATTGCATTTCAGAATTATAAAAGTGTATTAGACATTTTTGAAATGATGTTAGAAACGTTTAAGAATCAATTAAAGGTGATATAGTTTAATAAATCTTAATAATGGTTCTCAAGATATTTTTGTATTTATTATCTAGTAATGTTTCTTATTTTTCAATGCAATTTCTATTATTCACCGAAATTTTAATTGGATTTATCTTATTCACATTAGCACGGGATCTCAATTAATTACTCTGTTGATTAATCACATGTTCATGAATGATATAGCATATACATAGTATTAAATAACCAAATAATTTATTGGATAATTTTAAGCTTATTTTAAAACATAATTTCATAATAATTTTTAATCATCTTCAACTTTATTTCTTTTAATACAATTACTTTAATATCGATTTTATCACATAAATTTAATAAAGTCTGTAATATTTCTATTATTTATTTGCCACTCATCATTATTTTTCTTTAGATTATATTTTTAGATTATAATTGCTTATTTTAAAATATGTTTTTGTTATTATATTTAACAACAAATACTTTCTGTGCAATTTATTATAGTTTTTTTTTTTTTTTTTTTTGAGCAACTTTTTTTCTAATAAAATATAAATTTAAATCACGAAGATGTTGCTTCTAATGATGATACTGTATGAACAACTTTTAATATTCTAATGTCAGGGTCTGAGATTTCTAATGTTATTATTATTTTTTGTGTTCTTCTTAAACGTTGTCTATATTTGCGTGACAGTTTTGACTGTATTTTTGTTTATTTACAATATTTTTGTGTTTTTTACACTTTTGAAATATTTTTGTTTAGTCTGTTTTTCTGTTTTGCCTCTTTTTGTGGGGTTTTCTTATGTTAATTGGACGTTAATCTGAACACGTTTCAAATTTTATTGTTGGCGACTTTTCTATTATGTACATATGTATGTATATTAGGCACACGCATACAGACTTATTTGATCATATGCAATGTGAATGCCAGGGGTTCTCTAAACTTTTAATAAGAATTTTTATAGTTTTCGACGTCCAAAAAAACTTTACATCGCATTTGTTAACCGAGAATTTTAATTGATAGCACAAAAACTGCATTTTAGTCGTTGCAAATGAAACTGCTTTATCGACTAATTACTTATTGACAGGTCTCCATAAATTAAGCTAATAGTAAAATTTAAAATTAATATGTTTGAAAAAATTTAAACTATTTTTTAACTATTTTTATCAAGAATCTGTTTCTATGATTGATTTTATTGGAGAAAATGGCCCAATAATTGATTAATTAAGAATTTTAACTATTTTCCAATTTTTGAAATAACAATTTGAGAAAGTCTGCTATTAAATACTATATTGTTTAGAATTTGTATTTCTTTTATATTGGTCTGTATAGTTTTTCTTGCATTCATCTGATTTATTTCTATACTGAGTCTTGAGGGTAAAAACCATGTGAATTAAGGAATTTTTTATTCATATTTTGTTGTTGTTTTTGCAAATTTTCGTAATGTCTGGCCGCAAACATCTGTTGGCATTGTTTTTTGGGTATAACAATCATGTTGAAATTGATGACGTTTATTTACATTTCGTTTTTGCAAATATTTTGTCATTCTGAATATAATTTTACTATAATTAATTGTGTTTTTTTTTTTTAATTATAAAGAATGTCTTTTTGAAAATGTATAAAACTGCATGCAAGTGAGTTTATTTTATGTTTTTTCTTAACAAATCACATGATTTTTCTAATAAACATATAAAATTAAGAATAAAATAACAATATTTTTATACAAAAATACTATTGTTTTTACAATTCAGCCTTAATAAATATTAATGATTGATTTAAGTCTAAATATTTTCTTTTAATTGGAAATAAAAATATGATAAATATAAAAACAATTCCATCTGTTTAATGATGATGAAATTATTGCAGAAGTTTTGTTTATCTCGGTAGGCGTTAAGGAAAGGAAACTGCAGGCGGTATAACTGTCTAACACTCTTTTGCACTGTAATGTGTTATTTCAAAAATAAAATCAATATTAAATTGTTTGATTCTTTAAGTCAAGTACTATATATTATTTTATATTCCAAGAAAAACGTTGCAATATTTATTGGGAATTTTAAATGTATGATTGTACTAATTTCTTCTTTTAAACCTTTGTTTGTGTACTTTTGTACAATGTACATACATACATATGTATCTATATATATATGGTATTATATTATACAACAAACAAAGATTTGTTGTAAATATTTACAATAAAATATATAGAACGCCCTCGATAAAAGGAAAACGATAAAAAAGCTATGTAACAGTAGTTAGCAAAAGTAGATGGACCATGCACAGTTAAACAAAGAAACTAACACATCAGACCTTTTCCTTTTTCGGTCGAAAATAGTCAAAACGAGTAAGCGTGTTATATTCGGATATGCCGAGTCTTATGTACCCACCAGGTATGCTCCCCTAAAAAAAACTGAATGGTATTTGGATTAGGGCTTAACTCAGCTATGGACTAAGCTCTTACTAATTTACAAACCTTTTATGTGGGGTAGGGTCAATTAGGGATCGATACTCAAATATTATTGTACATAGGTTTTGTTTTGTATAGAATTTATTTATATCGAATTTCAGCACTATAATCTTATTTTAAATAAGGAAAATCCTTTCCTGAAGAGGAGCTTATATAGGGACTAGGATAAGTTATTATCTTCCCACATTGTTTTTCTAGCTATGTTTAAAATTTTAGATTGGGATTCCAAATAGTTTTTGATATATGGACAAAATTGTTGAATTATATTTACCAGAAAATGTTAAAAATATATAAAATGTTTAAGATTTTTAATATTTTGAACACTTTTTGATTAATATCTCGGAAAATATTTGGAATCCCAATCTAAAATTTTAACGATAGATAGAAAACCAATGTGAGCTGATAATATAAGAATTAAACAAGTGAGAGTGTTATATTCGGCTATGCCGAATCTCAAATACCCATCATCAAAACGTATGCCGTAAAGAAATGCTCGCCTATAAATATATGTACATCAGGGTGGGTATAAAAAGAAATCGAAGATCGATTCTTTCTAATATATAATTTCATATTTTGATATTCGAAAAAAATATGTTAAGAAATTTTTTATTTAAAATTTTTATAAAATTTCTTAATATATATGATTTGAAGAATCTTTTATCCAAACAGAAAAACATTTAATTCCAATTTTTTATTTTGAAATTTTATTTTCTCAAATACTGTTTATAATATTTTTCATTACACTGTTAGGGAAATTATGAATCACTTTTGGACATGACTGCACCAACACAATTCCAATCCCACCAACAGTTTATATTTAAAAGGACTCTGATTGTGTATATTTACCTATATATAAATGTATATATGAATGTATGTATGTATCTGTAAATGTAAACATAACACACATACTAATTTTATTATACAGTTGTAAATGTGTAGTAAAGATCAAAAATATAGCAATGATAAAGTTTTTAAAACATTCTGAATGTTACGGTTTATTTCCTAATAAAGATATCCGTAGAATTTGAATTTGTTACTTAGTTACTGCATTTATTGTAAAATTACTATATCAAATTAAATAATATTATCATCGTTTTAATCGTTAATATCTACAAAACTAATTGTCACATCTAAATAACTAAGGTTAGAAGCCATTTCCTAGAAAACTACATAAAATATCAAAAATCTATTTATTGGAATAAAATTAGGAGACTATAGGATAATCAAATCGAAAATTTCATTTTAATTGGTAAATTATTTTTGGAGATATAAACGATTAATATTAACAAGAAAATTGTAAAATTCTAAAAGACATTTTTTAACGAAAGAATCAAAACATAAATGACCTATATCTGTATTTAATAAAAATTTAAAATTAACCATAAAAAACAATTCTCCTCGCTAACATATTCAAAATTAATTTTTCATAACTATTTTATTACCCACCACTGACAACTGCCAAAGGAGGCCAAAACACTTCGTTTTTTATTTGAAAACAAAACCAAAAAGAAATAAAATAAAAGCTTTAAAATCAGTTGCTAGGTTGTTGGGTGGAAGTAGTTTAGACTTCCAGCAACAAAAAAATTGAAGCACAACACAAAAACCCATAAAAAAGGAAACAAGGAAATGCGTTTAAAGTGGCGATTCATACGAGGGGGTGGTTTTTAGAGCATGGAATTTTAGCAAAGTACATTTTAATAATTGGCGCCAATGCGGTCATAAAAACAAAGTCAGAGAGGGTGAAAAATCAAGAAAAGACCCATGAGTAATATATATTAAAACACAAAGAATCCACCAATAAATAATAAAACAATAAAAAAATATTTAAAACAACTGACGTCCAAAGTTGAAATAATTTAAAGAATTTTTTCGTCATTATTTATTTTCGACAAAACGGTCACGTTGATGATAAGTTCTAGTTGTCTTATTTAAATGTTTAATATTTTTGTGAACTAATTTTACACTTAACGCCCACATATTAATGACAAAGTACGCACTTTATTATAGTTTCATCTGTCAATATTTAAGAACACTGATTTTTTACACACATTCATTTACACTTGTCATACTCACACATACTACATACATTTACAGTTTGGTATTTCCTTCCTTCAAGTTCAGGTTCAGGTACAGTAAGATTCTCTTCTTCTTTTTGTTGTTCTTGCTGTTGTCTGTGATTTTATCATTGATTTTACATTTTTTATTTGTTATTTGTTTTCATTATTTTTATTAATTAGAACTACATATGTATATCGCATTAAATGACTCTTTCTATAAACTATTTATAAATTTTATATTTTTCTTAAATTTGTTTGAGTATTATATTTATTGTTTATGTAACTCGGATTATTTTTTTGTTAATTTAACGACAATATATATTTTTTGTTCAGTTGATTCTCTCCTTGACTTTATGTATATGTAATCGTTTTGTTGTTTCTTTTGAGCTTTTTTGTTCACAGTAGTTTCTTGCTAGAATTTTATTAAGTATTTTTCGTCTTCCAATTTATTTTCACTGTTTGCTCACCGAAAATTTTTCCGCAACTACTTTTTGTATTTTCACAAACTCAACAACAACCCCAACGAAATTGTGTGTCTGTCATATCGACCGAACAACCACTCTCGCACATTTTGACAGTTTGTTTTCAAACACATTTTGATAACTTTTCTTTCCCTAAGGGAAACAATTAGTTGTTTAGAGAAATTGCACGTTGATTTTAAGTTCTCTTGAAAATAATTTTTGTTTACAAAAGGGAGAGCTAAATATGAGTTCTATATAAAAAATTCTCTTGTAAATTAAAAAGGAAAGAGAAAATAGAAAACCAAAAAAAAACGTTAATTATAAAAATGGTACAATCTTTTAATAAAACAGTTTTATTTTTGGGATTTAAAGGAATTTAAATCCTTAGAGAACATTTTAAAAAAATGTTATGTTAAGTAATAAAAACGTTTATTATATGTTTTGCTTGCTTACATCTTACATTTTCATTATAATATCCGGATTCGAAAACCGCATTACCGATACGCTATATTATTTGCAAGAGTTGTATTGTATGTACTTTGAAAAGGATAGTTACCAGCGTTACCGTTCGGAATGTCACACAAAAAGGCGATTTTTAGATTGAGGAAAAAGTCGCACAAAAGGTAAATAATTGTAGCAATTGGGGAATGCAGTTCAAAGCGCAAAACAATGAACGTAGACTATTCCAAAATCGTGTTGTTTCTAAAACCGGGTTTCGAATAATTCTCTAAATTGGATTTTCAAAAAAGCCGGTTTCGAATACGGTTTAAAGTGTAAGAACCGGCTAAATTTTCCGAAAAAGACATTTTCAAATGTTTTTTAAAAAATTTTAATGAATATTACTACATACTTTTCATATTTATATGAGAATTAATTAGGATAAAAAGATTTATTTAATTCATAATTGGAGGATGAAATTTTGTTTTGATCATCATTATCTGTAAAAAAAAAACATTATGTATGCTAATAATAAGGTCCAAGAATATATAATAATAGTTAAAAATGGTGGTTCTGAAGTTAAAAGAAGTAAATCCTATTTGGATTTATTAAATCCAAAAAAATATCATAAATCAAACTCAAAACAATGTTAAAAAAATAAATTTGTTTTATTTTAATATTTACTAACAGATGGCAAATATTTTTTTGAAGGACTTACTATTAAAAAGAATAAACCTAATACTAAAACTGCTTATTTACTGAATTCTTATTACATACTTTAATTTGTATTATTTTGTCACATTTTAAACTTCATACATATTTAAATAATTATAAGAAGTTAAACAAAAAATTAATGAAAGTATTCAGTAAACTATACAAAAATATCACGAAAGATTTCAAGCCGTCTAAAGCTGAAAAATTTCTGGCGGCGGTTTGAATTTTGTTCGGCGGCTAGGCTTAGACGGCTTCAAGTCGAAACGGCGCAGATCTCTGTTGTTCTCTCGCCATATATTTGCTCAGTTCAATTTTTGCAGTATTTCA